CTTCAGTAAATGTTCTGCTACAGACAGTATTGTCCCTAATTGTAGTCTTTTGATAGACGTAGTAGTTGTGTAGTGTTTTGCTGTAGATGGGTCTTTTTCAGAAGTAGTATAGTTTGCTTCTCTGAAGGGTTTTATTTCTTAAGCAAAGTAAGTATTTTCAATGGTCATTTGTTTTCACCCGTAGTGAAAGTGAGATTTTTGTATTTTTTACATTTGGATGACACAGACTAATAACTCCCTACTAGTAGACTAAAGGAATTTACCACCTAAGCAACTGAGGCCCTGTTCTTTACTCATGACTGTTATTCTAATAACAACAGTAATTCTAAATTCACATGGTGATACGAATTCTCTTTAGAAGTTCGATATTGGAGTTAGCTATGTTCTTGCTTTTTTATTTCCTCAATGTATTTTTGTCTGGCTGCAGGAGGAATGCATTTTAAAGACGTCGCTTGTCTTATGAAGATTGTACTCATATAGGTTCCATGGTACACAAATGGTGATAGCCACATCAATTATATGGCTGAATTCCCGAATTAGGCAAAAAAAAAAAGGAAGAACTAAGCAAAATATATAGCATTCATTAAAGCTTCCCTACTATATGATTCACTTCAATGGCTTTGCCAATTAAAGTAATTGTCATATGCATTCAAACAAAGCATTTGTAGTGAGAGGTCTTGTTAGAAAAATACTGAAAATGGTTGTTTTATAGATTTATATTATATGTACAAAAACAATATTGATATGCAATACTTTTTAATAAGATGAAAGAAAATTTAAATTGGAGAAAACGTTTATATTCATGACCATATAAGTTTATATAATTTTGGTTATGGCTATTTCCAGTATTGTATCTGGGCATGCTGTCAAACTTCTACTAAAAATGGCAAGTATGTTTTGGACTCTGAAGGGCTGTGATTTCATTGTTAGTGTGACTCTAGCCAATGAAAGCCAAATTATTTAGCGGGCTTCTTGCTTCCCAGCGTCTCTCTATTTAAAAAATAAGCAGGTTTAAAATTTCTATTGAAAACAGGGCAGATTAGTTATCGCTGTTTAGATGTATATGTACGCCTGGTGAAATAACATAACTTTGTGCTGACATCTAAATGTCATCTAGGTTGCAAGTTAAAGAAAGTCATTTTAATCTTATGCTTGATAAAAACAGGCCTGGTGCGTACCACTACTGTAACTGCCCAGTTTCAAGAGCTAAAGAAATATTTTAAATTTCACTTACTCATGGAGTTTGCAGTTTGTTAAATCGCATACAATATTTATTTAGTCATAGTCAAATGTTTATGCAGAATGCTGTTCTGGGAAATGCTAATTTTTTTTTGACTGGATGAAATGAATTATATTTGTCAGGAATTCGAAGAACAAGGAATGTTTGGTAGACTGTTTTCTCAGATATAAATAAAAGCATTATCCAAGATTACATGCCTAAATTAGGGTATGTTTAAAAGAGCTAAGAAGGAAAGAACAGTGTTTTTATTTAAGAGCACGTAGATCCTTTCATGTGGAAGGGATATAGAAGACGGAAGAATGGTGGAAACACTGTGTGAGAAAATCATAGATCAGCATGTATTGTGCCACTAACTCTTTGCTAAGGGCTGAAATTACAGAATAGAGCAGTGTGAGAGTTGTGTAACTGTAAAACAAGAGGTGTATCTGTAAAACAAGAAGGTGTTTACGTGTATGCATGACCAAAGCATGCAGGGCTCAGTCCTACAAATTGTTTAAGTGTGCAGAGCACTTGGGTCCAATGGGATTGATTACTTGTGCTTGTTAAGTGAAAACATGAGCAAGGGGATGATGTCCAGGCCTTTGGAGTACTGCTGCCTCAAAGTTGCAACAGCAGGCTGATCCCCTAAATTGGGAGGGATTTTTGTCTTGGCCTTTTGTATTCCTTGTTCCTAGGCTCCTCCTACTCTTCCATAAATCAGTCTGATTGCAAACTGTTTATCCTAACATTTTATGTCAAATAGAGCTTTTGCTCTTTCCAGTAGCCTATGTTTTCAGATTCTAGGTATAACCTCCTGCAGGGTCTACCCTGTTAGGAGGGTCTGTTAGCGAGAGCGCTGAGGGTAGATCCATTATTAGGCTTGGGCTGTTTTGCTTTTGACACCGAGACAAAGCAGTTGCCAAAACTATCTGAGGTGTTTAGTGACAGGGAACTTACAAATGTCAGAAACAGACAAGCAGAAGTACGCACCCATTTAAAAACTGCAAAAATGGTATACTACAATGGGGATGTAATGGTAAAATAGAGCAAGGAAGTACAGATTTGGATGGTGCATGTATGTTTTAAAGACAATTTAGTATGTTTTCTTGCAATGTCAGTGTGGCTGGTGTGGCTTAAACATAGACCTATGCCTGGAACATGGGTTATGGTGGTCACGCTGGAGCTGGTAGTAAGCAGCATTGTGGCAGCAATGGGAGGAAGATCAGGAAACAGGTCAGGATACAGTTATCAAGATATATGAGCTCTCAGTGAGGCTTGCTTCTCTTTACAGATTAAACCAGTATTGCAAATCGTGATTTATCGGACATTGAAAAAAACATGTGCTGAGGGAATCATGCTGTTTCTGCAATTAAGCTTTAATAAATAATAACAGTAATGAGACTTTACTTTTGAGCCAGGAAAAATCCCTGGAACATAGGCTTCTACTCTGTCATCAAGCAAAAGATGAAACAGAATCAAATTCCAGAAAAGATACATAAATTTTTCTGAAGTAGACAGTAAAGAAAACAATACTGAATTAAATAAAAGACTGCACAATTCCTGGTCTCTGTTGCACATATTTCCATATTTTTTAGGCCAACACCACAGAATTTTTTAAAAAAGTAATTATTCAGGACTTCAAATGGACTAGCTCTTTTTGCAAAACAGTCTTTATATTAAAATAACAAAGATATTTTTTAAATAGCTATAATTATAAGAGAAATTATATTTATTGCAGTAGAAGTCAAGTCTCCTTTGGGATGGGCTTGGAGTAATGGATGGCTAGGTCTTCTAATTTATCTAAGTCGTGCAGCATTAGAAAAGCAAATTCAACATATTTACACATGAAGTTCTGTGGTCATTTTTTAGAGGGCTGACGTGACCATACATCAAAGGGACTTGACCTTTGGAGCTCACTGCCTATCTATCAGTGTGAACCAATGCCTGCTTACCACTTGCTTCCTTTGGAGATCATGGAAGGGAATGTGGCATGAAAAGTAAAAGGGAAACACAAATGGGGAATATAAAAACACTGGAATGATGAACAGATTTTTTTTTTTATTTAGAGGTATGCATTTTTTCCCCACATCCTTTGATTATATATTTGATAAAGAGTAATGAGTCTGAGTACAGAGTTGCAAACATCAATTCTCTTGCTCCTAAATGGAGGTCAGGAAACGAATACACTATATGTGTTTGGTTTTAATTCCCTTCATCCCTATGATCATATAGATTTCCTCCCCACAACTAGGCTTTGTACATCCTAGTTATCAGTTACTCCCACCCTTTGGCCACCATGAAAAGAGTGCTTGGCTGTCAACCCTCCAATAACTGATACCAGACTTAGATTTCCTTCCTAAGACTCTAGTTTTAAAACTCTACAGAAACTGTCATGGAAGTTGATAGGAAACGATCCCTTGTTTTCAAAAGGTATAACTTTCTAATTAATGTTCAGTACATCCCAAATATTCACCATTTTAGTTCTGTACTAGTTAAAGTTTCTGATAATTTTATCTTAAACAGAGGCAGAATTGGCTCCCAAAGCTCTGCTTAGGTATGCTGGCTACATTTACTGTTAATGAACAACTAATATTGAAGGCATTAATCCATAGGATGTTACCTGTATTTAACATGGCAGAACTTTGGTAAATGTACAGGTTACTTCCTAAAGATAAGATTTTCAGGTTGCTCTTAACTGATACATGTTTGTGAGATGTATGCTATAGGCACAACTGGTTTTCATAAACATACAATATAGCTAAAGACCATTCCATTGCTTGGCAAGAAAACCCTCCAAATTGTCTGGGAGAGACAGAAAGCATATTTTAATTCAAATTAAATGATTAGTTTATAAATTAATCGTTTAAGAACTGTAGAATGTGGAGGTATGAATAAACCTACCGAACATAGAACAGTGACGAATGTGTCTGTAATGTGGTGCTGTGAAGCAGCGTTACTAGAAATTGGTACAAGGGCTGCGCTGCTGGAGTTGGAGAGCTGTGAGTCTTGGCACCCATTAGTGCTTAATGAAGGCACCCAGAGAACTGGTGGTGGCCAAAGAAAATGTCGACTGTAAGGAGTTTATCCTTTTTCTCAGGTACTTGCTAGGAATGAAGATGGTGGTGGTGGGAGGAGATGTACCTTCTCTAAATGTGGAAGAGATTCGTACTGGAAAGGGTGCTTTCTTTTTTTTTTTTTTTTCCTTTCACCCCACGCAGTCTAACTGACCAGGGACAGCTGTTCACTTCCCTGTAATTTCGCGGTGTGATGTCAGGAATGTTTGATTATTTCTATGTGGACTTATGGAAATACTGATGTATTAATATGGCAGTTCTAATGTCCCCTTTCTCTACTCTTAACATATATACACTGTGGCTTGCAAAGCGGTGGGAGAAGAAGACTTTTTTGCTTTAATTCTACTCCAGGAATAAGGCAGCTCAAGTGTCTTGGAATTATGAATTAGAAATTGATTAATAAAATTTTCTTGCTCTGCCATGCCTGAGTCAAATTCCCTAGAACCTGGGGAAAATTCTAACACCGTCTGTTTCCACATCTGCCATATACATTGGACTATGTATATGTAGCACAAAAGCATGTAGCCTAAGACAAATTGTACTAGTCCTGTGCCATCTATCATTTCAGTTTAGTTCTGTGTTCCTTAGAGACTCCTTTTAAAATAGGAAGAATCTTAGAAATTAATTTCTCATCTTCTGCTAAATTACAAAATTCTGAAGAACAAACAGACAGTGGCATTTTATATTCTCTAGGCAGCACTACTTACTATCCCCAGAAATATCATTTCCTCTTCTCTCATTTTCTCTGTTTTCTTGCGCTGGATATATCCACGCCAAACCTGAATTGTAAACAAAACTCTAATGAGATAAATGGGCCTTGCTACAGCTTCCTTTACTGTCGCAGACACAGGAAAAAACAAATAGAGGAAGGAAAGGTACAACAGACAATTGAAACTATTACTCTCTAACAGGTTGCCATCTGCTATTTTTTTTTAAAGCAAATTCTAAAGTTTGTTATCCCTTCACACTGGTATATCTAGCTTCTAAACACAACATCATCAGGGTTCAAAAAATGTTTAGACTTAAGATTTTGACTGAGCTCCTGTTCTTGTCAGGCTGAAATATTAATCTGTAAGGACTTTTTCTGGAATTTAGCGGTTATCTCCCTTTCTCATCTTTTCAAGTTATGGAATAAACTCATTCCCTGCAGATCACAGGAAAAGGCATGAATTCCCTGAGATGCACTGGATTCCAGCGGGATGACAGAAAGAGCAACTGAGGTCATAAAAATCAGAACGGAAAAACAACATGTAGGTTATAAAGTCATCCTGCATTGCCAGTGCAGGACTGTTTCCCTTGATCTTGCATCTAGGGTCCTGTCTCATTTTGTTAAGTGGTTTAAATGATGTATTTCACCTTGCTAGACACCCTGAAAGCTACGATTTCAGAATGCTCCCCACCCTGTGAGCTGTGTTTCTGTCTATTGCTGTTCTTCTGCACAAATCATTGTCATTTGGTTCTGGCAGAACTCTTGTTAAATCAGAGATTTCACCTTTTGAATGCAAGTGGCAGCATCATCTGGATTTGGACCCATCTGGACCTGAGGTTTAGTTTGTCTTTCTTTCTTCTCTGCAAGGTAAATTTTCTTCATGAATTTTGCTCGACAGCGGCCTTGGCGAGCCCGTTCTGCAACCTGGATCACTTTAACAGCTTCTTCAAGTGTCATGGCCTTGACTGGTTTCTTCAACGGCACAGCCAAAAAGGAATGGACAAAGCAAGGTATTAGAGTTATGTGTTTTGTTAACTGCCTACCTCAGTTCGCAAACGAAACAACCTATGAACTACTTGTGGAAAATTTCTAAGACAAAAAATCCCTTTCACAAACAGCAGAGACTCCTGTTTCACTGCTATCTTGCAATATCTTGGATGTTTGGTATCTTGAGAGATGTGTTTTTACGAGGACCTTCGGGAGAAAGTGAACCCAATGTATGATAAGGAAAGCCAGAACAAGAACCACAGGGCTTTGTCCTATTAAAAGCAGAATTTCTTAAGCCATGGAACATCTTCCTTTTACTTTTCTGAATGGATGGGTTTCTGGATACGCTGCTGGGACCCCAGCTCTCTGCTGAATGGAAGGACAGGCTGTTCTGAGCCAGCCCAGGCCTGGTCAGTCCAGCCCAAGTAGAAGAGGCCTGGGGAAAAACATATCGGAGCAGTGCAGCTGGAGAGAGGGATGCCCCTTCTCACTCCTGAGTTAACCCCTCATGCTCCCCATGGAAAAGCTGAATTATTGTCCTTTCTTGATATTAATCCCCCTATTGGAGACAGTTCACTTTTGATGCTTCTATATTGTGTGGAGCTCGCTATATTACATTTTCAGTAGGGCTTTCTCTAACAGAATTACATAGCAGGACAAACAGTCTGCAGAGCAGAATCCTCTGATGAACTCCACTGTATCGGATGTACGTTAGACTGCTTGTAACAGCAGTGCTATGGATGCTGAAGAATTCAGTGGTCCGTTACATGGCAGTTAGGATTTCCTGAGCGTACACGGCTTGCTATGATGCATGCAGAAGTGCTGACAACCCTCTAGCAATCCCAGCGGTGACTGAACTGGAAAGTGCAGCACAGGGCACTGGACTCACACTGTGTGAGATTATTCATGTTTACTTAATCTCGTGCCTCTCTTGTGGCATCCTGGCAAGGCAGACCTGGACCCTGCCAGCACCTGAAGCGCAAGAGCCTGGTGCTCGCAGGTGAGCTGGCTGTACACCAGATAGTCTCATCTGTTATGGATGTCGCATTGAAAAGGGGTGAGCGCAGAACTGTGGGAAACAAAAAGGCTTCAAGATGTAATGCGCTGAAATAGAGGAACTCCACAGACCGACAACATCAGACTACTGGAAGAGTAGAGAATTTACCCAGAGGTTTACTGCGGAGGTCAGGAGGACTGCAGCTGCCCATTAAAGTAATCTAGCAGGGAGCCTGTGCTCTGTCTCCCTAGACTGCCTCTGACTGGTCCTGCTTCTTTCCCTGGGAACCTTCCCTCCGTTGCTTTGTGGGATCAATGCACAGACTTCCCCCACCAGCTTAATTACTCGTGGAGAATTCAACAGTAGGGCCAGTGCAGCAGTTTGACTAAGTGGTCTGATCAGGACTGCCTCTTCTGGCTATAACATCTATGAATCTAAGTTGTCCAGACTTGGGGGCACAGTTGTTTGTTTCAAGGGGTTAGCAACGACTGCTTGCAGGCAATGCGCCACTTCCAAAAGGTCAAAAGTATATCAAGTCCAGAACAGTCTTCACCGCACCATTCGTGTAGTTCTCTGTAATGACTTTTGCTCTGCCAAAACTCAATTTTCTACTCCTCCTAGCAGCTGCACCTCTATAGCTGCACAGAAGAGACTGCAGTCATTGTTCAGAGGTTATAAACAACTAAGTGCTAACAGTTGTGCTGACCTGAACTCTGAGTTTTGACCGTTCCAGTTAGGAATCCTGGTTCAGTAAAACTTAAGCCCAGCTTGATTTCAGTAGGACTAATTATATGATGCGAGTTAGCTAGAAAAATAAAGCACCTACTAAACTTTGCCAGCGTGCTGCCCTTTCTCTAACATTCTCATACACATAAAGCAGAGTCCATTCATTCCAGTCTTAACCAGGCTCGAGGTGTGACTGGATATTGTTAGAGAGCAAAATTTAATGTTACTATCTATTTGTGCTTTATCTGTAAACAGACTTTTACTTCCTAACTGCTGTAAAAGTACTTTTCAGTGACTCGTGTTCAGAAGTGTGGCTATAAACTAAAAAGGTTAAGCATGTTGTTACGTAGCTATGTGGTACACTTACCTGTGTTTGCAATCCAGTGTTAAGCAAAATCTGATCAAGGATTTTCTCCCTCTGCTGCAGGACTTCCAGGTTTTCTTTAATGAAGTACCTTGGGACAGGTACTTCTATGTCTTCCTGCAGGAAGAAGTAGTCACGCGATGCTTTTTAGAACTGCATTAAAATCACATTTATTAACTGAACACCTTTACAAAGCAATTACATTGGACTGAGATTGCTGAATATTTTGGAGTGTTGAGGAATTTGACCTGTGTAACAGCTGCTGAGCTGTTACTTTGCAATCACTTAGGCCTAATTCAACAAAAACAAATAAATCAACCCAGTTTCTGAACCGCAGCAGCCCAGAAATCTTTCTTTTCATAATGGCTCAATTATATTATCAAACTGTTAAAATATTTGGCTGGGTTGCCAGAAATTTGAACATGATTTCCACCAAATTGAATACCTCTGGTTGTACAATCATCCCACTATTTTTTTTTAATTGACATGAAAAATAGATCTGTTCTCTTCCTTTTTTTTTTAACTATTACTAGAACTCAAAACACAATTCTGTTTGTCTATAGGTATTTCTACCTGTAAATGAACTGTCACTGTCTGTGACTGTGATATCTCAGTTACCTCTCAAAATCATGCATGATTAGAAGTGGCTGTATTTACTTGTTTATATCATCAAAAAGCTGTAACTGATTCACATTTCTACTGATTCTTCTCCTGTAGAATTTCACTGTTGTTGAGAAATTAAAAAAAAAAAGACAGGCAGACAAAAATCTACCCCAAAAATCAGGAGGCTGCGGCGTGCTGTAACCTGTTCTTTGTATTGAAGACTGGAGACAATTCTTCAATAATAGTTACCAGCAAGTATATTTCTTTGGCGGGGGGCAGGGAGTGGAATGTGTCTTCATAGGTCTGGTTCAAACTGGTGCCACCTTCCCTATATACTGTTTCAGAAACATCTAGAACATCTCCTCAAGCTAGCGATTCACCCAGAGGGATGGGCGGAGACAGGCAGTATACTTACCCTGTCGTGCTACTCATGAGGGGATGTACGGTCTAATTTGTCCCCAGGTATATGTGGGCACTTGGTTCTTTTGCCCAAGGAGCCTAAGACACGTACAAGACTTGATGGTGCGCTATCAGTGCTCTCTGTTCTGTCTGCTGTGGAAAGTGGTGGGCTTTGACCTGTTCAGGGAGACCTTTGACTTATTCCTTTGCAACCTCGATGCTACCTCTAGTGCGAGCAGACACAGAGGAGAACAACACTTGCTATGAAGAGCAAGCACTGCTCCTGGCTTGACAGAGACGCATGGTAGATGTGCTGTTTGTGAGCTCTAAGGCCTTCCAATTTCTAGAGTAAGAATTTGCAGTGAAGGCTGTGGCCAATGAAAACAGCCACCGCAAACTGCCAACTTGCAGATTTCATCACTAAGTCCCACAGTTGCACACAGTGCAGACCGGGACATCCCTATTATGGCAGCATAAGAAAGCTTCTAAGTAGGACTGTGTTTGTCCCTATTGATTTTATCACTGCAGAAGACTGGTCTGCTAAAGCTTCTAAATATTTCTCTTGTTAAGCTCCCTGTTTGCACCTTCTAACACCCTTGATTGTTGATGGAAATTACTATATGTTGTGCTTTAAGAGTGCGAATCACTCTAGGTTGGATTACAAACCCATCTGTCTTTAGGTATAAGAAATCAAATGCTTTGTCTGGGTGCCCTTGCATAGGATGAGAGGGCTTTTACGCTGTCAGGCAGCAGCGTGAGTCAGTCACTGTAGGTGTGGTGAGTATGTCTGATGTCTAACCTGGGCTTTAATTACAAGTGATTCTGGACTGTGACTTCTACTGACTGTAAAGATGAGATCAAAGCCATAATACTGGGGCTGGAAGTCGGGGGGAATAGGGAGACTACTCTTCATAATCTCTTTTTGTGACCCAGCATTGAAAAGTTAAGTTTGTGATGTTTATCCTTAAGTCAAATTTACAGCTTTTCAGCCACTCCCGGCTCCACATGGGATTTGTGTATCCAAATACCTTTACAATTACTCCAGGAAATGGAGTAACCGAGTGTTGGAAGGCAACTTTATGAAGAGATGAAGCCCCGAGCTAAAGAAGGAGGAAGCTTGGCCCTACAGTGACATAGTAAAAAGTATGCAACGTAATTGCATAAGATATAAAATGAGACTACTTGGGTGTGTTCTCTGCCTACAGTCACGCTGGATTTTAACCTATGATAATATGGTGAAAGGGAGGACTGGAGATATTCTTTCTCGGCAGATTCTTTAAGAAACAGAAATAATTTGTCAAGTACTGGCTAGTAATTTTGGTTTGGAACCAAGAATAAATGATTATTTTATTTAAAAATATAAAATGTATTCTATCTACTATGGAACATAACATTTTCTTTGAAAAAGCATGAAATCTCTTTAATGCCTTTTTTTTTATTTTGGTAGGTAGGTATGTCGTGCCTTCTTAAAACTAAGGTGTAGCACAGGAATTTGAATTTATGTTTGTTTTTTAGCAGATGTCAAGCATGACTTTTCAGGCTTGCCAACTTTTTGCTGCAGGTGGATTTACTGATAAGTCATAAAACCAGCATTGCTTAATGATTCAAAATATGGTTTGAAGGATCAGTTTCCTCGGAGGTGTATTTATACTCTCCAGTATGCCTTCTCACAGTTTAGAATAGTGCTTTTCTATGACTAATGTAGAAGGTAAAGAGCTGGTGAATGTTCATGGTACTTACTATCCTAAATTTTCAGAGTGAAATACGCGTGCCGTAGCAAACAGAAAGATGTTTGCAAATCTCAGAATTATGCTACAATGATATTACGCAATTTATCTCACTTTATAACTGGGATCCTGAAAACAGCAGTAAGTTAAGCTCCAAGTCTTTCTCTTGAGAAAAGCGGTTAGCAGCAGTACCTAAATTTGACAATAGGTGGAGCTGTCTGCGAGAGAAGTAACCACCTTTTCGCAGCCAGTTTTTCATTCGGCTTTTAGAGCACAGCTTCAAGACTTCGCCTTCCTGTCATATCCGTCTGGTTTAGCGGGCTGTCTGTCAGGGGGCTGCTTTTACATCAGGCAGTCCTGACCCCCGGACCTTAAATATGCTGGCTCCTTGACAGTAAGAGACTTGTCTCACGTTTCTCATTTTGGTAGTTGGTCGTACTACAAACTACTAGACCAGACCATGCAACTTGTAGTGTTACCTGTGATCTCTGGAAGAGGCCTGAGGCCAGGCTGATTCACAGTGATTCCAAGGGCAGACTGAAGTGGATAACTGACAACTTAGTTATCAGTTGCCTGTCTTCTATCTAATTCCACACTAAAATCAGGCAGAGTCTGCTGTCATTAATAGCAAAGCTGTCTAAGCTAGTATGGCTTCACATTAGGACGTGTGCAAGTGGAAGAGCCGCAGAGGCTTTGCTGCTATAGAGAAGCAGAAATGCACATACTGATCAAGCAGATCAGCTTTTAAAATCTTACTCCAATATGTAATGCTCATCATGGATCAAATATACTCTAATCTTTAATAAAAATGCCATAATTTCTGGTCACCCAGTACACTAGCAAACGTGCAGGAAGATAAATTACCTGGTGGAACTTGAAAGACTACAAGTAAATGTGACTGTTCTTAAAATACAGGATAGGTAAAATTCCTATGAATTTGTTCATAATAATGGTAGACCTACTGGGAGAAGCTTTAGATCTTCCAGGATGTTATCAATGTAATGACACTCTGACTTCTCCAGCTCCACCATCTCTTTTTTAATCTCCAGGATCCGGCCAATCACACCATCTAGCACTTGCCGAATCGCTGTCCGTTTCTGCTGGTGAACGAGCTGGTCATGGGCCGTCTCCAAGTCACGGAAGATTTGCATGTATTTGATGTAGGAAGCAGCTAGCATCTTGAATACTTTCACGCGGTCCTTCTCTGGCTGGAGGAACTCTTCTCTTTCTCTCCGGAGCTGGATGTCGAGGTCTTTCTGGGCATCTCTCCACATCTTATTGTAAGTGCTAATTGAAAAGAGGAGACTATGTTAACCTGACATGAAAGCAAGAGTTAGCACACAATGATGCCAGGGCTCTATGTGTGTGGATTTCTCGAAAAAGCAAGCCTGGAAATGTAAGCCATTGTATTTATAAGGAGATTTTAACTACAATGTATTTTAAAAACCTTTAGCAAAATTTTCTCTTTTTGATGTTTTTAAAAATAGGAATCTTAAAATGCTATTTTATTAATGAAAGCTGAAAAGTTAAAAACTTCTCCACTTTGTCCTCAGCATGCCTGAAACATCCTTCAAAGGCTTGAAGCTGCAAACTCCAACAGTGCCACAAATTTCATTCAATTGTGCTAATTGAGAAGATGATTTAATAGAAAAGCTATCTCCCCTGAAAGCCTTTATGATGGGCGAAGGTCTCTTTTAGGTGACTTCATGTTTGGGATGAGGACCAATTGATGTTTCTAAAGTGTGTGTTGCTTTTCTGCCTTTCTGAAAGAGTTGCTTACAGCTAATTGTAGGGTAAAAGCTATAACTGTGCTAATGCTACAGCGTAGCTGTGGGCACTATTTCGAATGTGAAGCTAGGAAAATTATTTATTTCTATGGTAGCAGCTGTTGCACTCCAAGCAATTGCTAAAGATCTGATCTGGTGGCTAGAGGACCATGTGATATGGAAGATGTCATCCAAGGCCAGCTTCCATTCCAGAAGGGGTAACACTGTTTACTTGGTAGTTTTGGTAGGAACAGGTGGAGCTCTGATGTGAACATGGACTGGCTGTCAGTGGTTTGTCACAGTAAAAGCAGATCAGTGCAGAATACTGTGGGAAATCATCCTCAAGGGGCAAGAAACAGACCCTGGGCAATGAGGCTTTTATTCAGAGAAGAGCTCAAACAGCAGGGTTGTGACTGAAAGGTACTAACATCTGTGGTAGTGAAAGACCCTTTTGGGTCCTGTTCTACCTGTAACCTCTCTTTTCCAGGTGGAGACTCTCCACTTGAGTGACAGGCATCAAAAAATCTTATGTCTTTGAAACTGTTTCTCTACCAGCAGAGCTAAGATATTTCTTCTGTGCTGGGACTCAGTTATGCTGGGAGGAAACCAGTTGATTCACGTTGCCAGGTTTGCAGGAAAAGTAGAAAACTGGGCTAAGGTAACAGGGAAATCCGACTTAGACCTAGGTATAAAGGCCATTGGTCTCAATGGTGCAATCTAGACCCATCCATATGCTTAACCTAGCTATCACTTGCCGTTCCTAGAGCCCCACAAAGAAGGATGAAGACACTAAAAGGCTCTGCCTCCATTACGTGAGCTTTCAGAGAAGACCTCTTGCTGATCTGAGCAGCATTGAGGGAGTGCTTGTATATTAATTCTGACAAGAAAGCTGGGCAGCTGTTAATGTTGCTCGTGCTTCATAATATATACCTAAATTGGAGCTCTGACAGCTGATCTTATCATACCCAGTCTCGGGAGTACAGAATGACCCGAGGCGTGTGCTGCAAGAGGGACCAATGAGGTGGACAGGACAAGCTCCAGCCCCGTGCGTGCAGTGCGTGTTGCATGTCCAGGATGCTGACGGGGCTGCTGGGACTCCCTGCAGCAGTCAGCAAAACCACCAACAATCTGAACCCTGCTATTGAATTTGCATCATTAACTTTTTAAAGTGCATATTATACTTCTCAGCTGACCCAGGTTTCTGCAAGATGCAGCTGGTCTTGCTTTTCCTAATGCTTCTGCAGCCCACCCAGGTCTTTCCCCTTCCTTTTTTCCAACTTCATTTACATCCCATTGCACCACCCGAATCACTCAATTGCAGCAATTAACCCAGGTGCAGGAGATAAACAAAATAAAACCAGCAGAGTGGAGAAGACTGGCACAAACAAGACCAGCATTAGCTTTGACCTGAGGGCTCTGCTGGTTGATCACTGGGAGTTTTGTACGCTTCTTCTAAAGTCAGGACATGGAAGAACGTATTGTGGGGAGGTTCACGGGGTTTTCCAGCGCAGGAGGATACAACACGGTATTGTACTCACTTAGCTGTGCCTACTCACAGACCATTTGATGGCAGGGAGGTTATAAATCTTAGAGGAAGCCTGGCCATACAGATTGTCCCCACAACCACACCACTGATTTATGAGCAGCGGGTATCCTCAGGCTAGAGCGTTTCGAATGCGGGTTATTGCATGGAGACAACAGATTGTGCGATGATGAGAGCTGACTCCATGACTGTCCACTCCAATTTACAATAACCTCCCTTTCTGCCTCCTCTGACTGAGGAACGTCAAGTGGTTCCTCCTGCTGAGCCAGCTAATATCCTGTTTCTTTTTATATTTTGAATGACTTTTTCAGGGAGGAGGGAGACGGAGTGCTCCAGCCCTTCAGAGTATGTTAATGTAGGGCGATATAGATGGAGCATAATTGCTTCCCTAAAGCATTAGTTTATCAGATAAGCATTAAGATGATTGCAAGCTCGTTGCTGTGGGTCAGACGTTAAGACAATGGATATTATGGTATGTTTGTGGCTTTTGCAGCAGTGATGCTCTGTGTAAATGATGTCAAAAGCAGGGACAGGCCCACTGGAAAATGAAGTACTGAAGGAAAAGCTTGATGTGGAACTGCTAAATTTTCAGCTGTGATAAGCTGATTGCTCCTGTGTCCCTGTTGCAGTCAAGGTGACTGACACCTCGGGGGGACCTGGTCCTAGAGCTTCAGTTTGTTAGGCACCCGATGGGGAACAGCAGGTACTTAATAATTGGACAGTGCCAGCAGAAATGTGATTTGCGTGTCTCTTTGGTTCACCCTGATTAAAAACTGGAGAACACATGCACAGCCATTTGTTTCCCCACCCTAAAAAGGATTAAAATAATTATTTCAGGTTTTACTTGTGTTCAAATGGGAGCCCTTCTGGACTAGTTTGAAGGATCAGATGTGCTTGGTGTTAAGAGTCTGTTCTGGGGGCCTTGGCAGAGCTGCTATAATGCTGAGGAGCCCTTCAGCTTTGCAGACAAATGTGCTCAAGGGTAGTCAGGAGGAGTAATGCATGTCTTCAAGATTATACATTAAAAGCAAAGGACAGGACTGCTCTTCCTTGCCTGTTCATCAGACAGTGTGCGACCCCTAAGTCCCCATCTGAATTTTTGCCTATTTGCTCAGTCTCCCTTTGCACTAAGTTGTAAACTCCCTCACAATTGCTTCCACGTGCTCAAGGGGGAGTACCATGCAGCCTTGAGTGTGCTGGCTTTTTATTTACTGTTACTGCTTCAATTTGTAGGCTTGTTTCTGTTCTGCAACGGGTAGCTCGTGAGCTGTATCCGTGCCTGAGGATGATACTGTACTGGAAATGGATTAGAGCATCTAACCAACGTATCAGTGTAGGTAACCAGCAGGACTGAGCACAATTTTCCTACTCAAGGCATAAGGTTATTAAAACCTGGAAGAGAAAGAAGAATGTCTGTCAATCTCTGCATGTGTACAGCAGTATAAATAATGCTGCAAATTGTCATAGCAACTACAAAATAGGAGTGTTATGGGGAAAATAAGCAACACTGTAATGGGATGAGGAAAAAGCACATAAAATGACTTAACTTCAAAATCCCCAGAGTGCTTTCTGGCAGCTTACAACTTGGAGGGAAGGTCAAGGCTTTACCTCCTAACTGATGTCCCTTCTCTTCACTCCCACAAAGTAGAAATGGAGTCTAAAACAAGGGCTTAAGAAGACTCTTTTGCCATAGTGTGACTTCTAGTTCGAATCTCACTTTTATTGCTCAAAATAAAGCCTGATCTGCTTATTTAGAGTGAAGCTTAAGAATATGTTTTTCCTGCTCGAGTTTATCCATAAGCTACAAGTCTATCATCAAGTTTAAGCGTAGAGATGTTTAAAATCCTGCCAAATTATGCATTGCCTCGTTTTAATATTCAGAGCCCTCTAATTCTGCACATTTGTTTGACCCATCTCTTCTTACACTTAAAAAACCCTGTCAGTTTTGAGTGCAGCTCAGGTTAGCTTGCTTACTTGTGTTGAATTGGTTTGGAGACTTAAGCGTGCCCTTCTTGGAAGGATTTGTGCTGAGCACACAAACTGTCCCTCAGACCACTTTGAGCCAGCAGTGGAATCTGGCATCAGTGGGGTTACCTTTGTGTGTGTTTTTTCTTTCCCTTCCCCGGAGGCGTCTTGGTGTTTTTACTTAGCTGCCAAAGGGAACACTATTTCTGTTATTCCAGGACGTGGCACAGTTTGCACTCCAAGCTGTCTCTGGATTTGTCTATGGGCTGAACCCAAGCTTCTTTGATGCTTGGCTTTTCTGGGCTGTCCTCTGAGGACAGAAATATCTCACTTGCACATGCCAGCCATGTAAACGCAGAGTGTAAGTGCTGCATGGGCCCTACTATTTTTTCTGATGGGTGGGTACATGTAAAGAGATAGAAGGGAAAACATTTGACTCTGACTCGGCCCAGCTCTCTTCACCTAATATGGAAACTCCCACTTGATTAAATGAGCACTAAATTGTGTGTGCGTGTTAAAACATTTCTAAAGCAACTATGCTGCCACTACCTGAATTTCTCCTTTCTCAGAAGATGAGACTGCACTGTGCTGGGCTATCTAGCAGAGAGTGGAGAAGGCACCAGCAGGGCTTGCCAGCGGGTGTGGGGCTAGGCTGCAGCAGGGCCCTGGGTGCCGGAGCAGGGCTCCTGCGGGCACAAGCAGCCCAACATGTATTGCTGCCGTGCAGCCCAAGCCAACGGTCACGGAGCAGACGAGAGGCGACCGAGACGTGGGTCTAGCGACAAGGAAGTGTGTGTGGGGGCCAGTCCTCGGGGTCTCCTCTAGATCCTCGGGGCTTGACAGGTCAGCCATTGTGCTGAGCCCTGGGCAAACACGGGGGAGGGAAACCCTGCCCTGCGGCCTCTGCAAAATAAAGAAACCAGAGACAAAGGTTGGGAGGGGAAAGTGAGGCCCCGAGAGGAAAAGGGGCTTGCACAAATGCTGCTGCTTTTCTTTTTTC